GCAGTCTCCAATGTTCATTAAGAATAAAGCACCCATTTTATATTTATATTTATATAGTTATGAAACATGGAATTAAAAACAAAAAATAGAAACGATTAATTGCATGTAATTTAGGTAGGCACCAAAATTTAGCATCATAGGTATAGAAATTAGTAGGTATTTAAAATTAGCATGTGTAGGGCACATGCCATGTGGGAAAACATTACGAAAAGTCAAGACCATAAAATTATAGCTCAAATGTAAACTATCATCAACTCAATTGTTGAAGATTGTAAACTTGTTTCTTAAAGTTAGCAAATAGCTAGCCAAAAATTAATCAACAACAAATTTAAGGTTAAAAAAAAAAAGAAAAAAAAGAACTCCAAATCCCTTATCTTAAACACCATCATCTTCAACCTCACTAAACCCACCTATGTTCACTTCTTATCAGTGACGGAGCTAGGATTTTTGCTCAGGGGGTCCGATTTTAAATGTTAAATAACGAGTTTGTAATTTACGTAGAAACACTCATTTTATATAATTAAGTTGTGTTTACTTATAAATATAGATATTAATATGTGTATCTTCAAGTTTGTAAGAACTTAAAATCCGTATCACGTCAAATATTTTTTTTTTAAAAAAAAATGAGATTTCGTGTATTTATAATTTATGTTTAAGATCTATAATTTATGAATAATAAGTTTTTTTTGTTCAAAATTTGATTCAAATTGAACATGTTGCATAGTATTTTTGTTGATGAGAGCTTATCAAATGACCATTTTTTAATAAAAAAAATATATAGTTGAAAATATTTGATTACATAAAAAAAATAAAGTAAAAAAAATTCAAAAATACAATCGATCAACATTCAAAAATCAAACAATCTAACTAAATTCTAGGTTTTATAAATAAAAAATTTGATTTACAATTAAAAGACCAAAAGAGTAAATTATTATAAATATTTTCAAAAATTTATCAAAAAATGTAAAATATAATGATTGTTTGTATACTTTTCAATAAATAAATAATTTTTATTTGCATATATATAATAATTTTTTTAAAAAACTGAGGAGGGCCCGTGGGCCGCCCTGGACCCCATGTAGGTCCGTCCCTGGTTCTTATCTCGTCACTTCATTTTCTTCCTCTCAAAAAGGGAAAAATTAGATCTTTTTTTTTTTTTTTTT